AAGAGCTTTCATTTGAGTACCCACATCATTTTTTCATATATTTTATATATTTATATATATTATATATATATATATATATATATGTATATATCAAAAATGCAAGTGAGTACTCAAATGAAAGCTCTTGACGAGTGTTACATCGGGATGAGCTTATATCTTAAAAAATGTCAATCATTAAGAAATGACATTGTATCTTGTGAACCATTAACATTTTTAACGATATAAGCTCACTCTGACATTATACTCTTCGAGACCTTTCATTTGAATACCCACATCAATTTTTTATATATTTCATATATTTATATATATTATATATATAAATATATGAAAAATATATCAAAAATGCAAATGGGTACTCAAATGAAAGCTCTTGATGAGTGTAATATCAAGATGAGCTTATATCTTTAAAAATGTCAGTATTTAAGAAATTACATTGCATTTTAACAAAATTCATTATTTAATAAAGCAAAATTTGATTTATTTATTTTTCATAAGTCACATAGTGACTGCAAGGTTTCTAGTTATTATTATTATTATTGTTATTATGATAATAATGATTTATATTTATGTCTCTAGAGAGCTGGACGAGCTGGAAGAACCAGACCCGGTAAATGCTTCAGACTATACACTGAAAGAGCGTATAAAAATGAAATGCAAGAGAATACTTATCCAGAAATCTTGAGATCTAATTTGGGAAGCGTTGTGCTGCAATTAAAAAAGTTGGGAATAGATGATTTGGTCCACTTTGATTTTATGGACCCACCAGCACCTGAAACTCTTATGCGAGCTTTAGAGTTGTTGAACTATTTGGCGGCCTTGGATGATGATGGAAATTTGACAGACTTGGGGGCTATTATGGCGGAATTTCCTTTGGACCCTCAGCTTGCTAAGATGTTAATTGCTTCTTGCAATCATAATTGTAGCAATGAAATTCTCAGTATAACTGCTATGTTGTCAGGTAATGTTACTGCAAAAATGGGGATTTTTATTATCATTAAAAAAATTATACTATTAATTATTGACAAAAATTAATTTAATTAAAAATTAAATTTAAATATTATTTTTATAATTATTATATTGATTTAAATATTGATGATTGATGTGATATTAGTCCCACAGTGTTTTGTAAGACCAAATGAAGCTAAAAAGGCTGCTGATGATGCAAAGATGAAATTTGCTCATATTGATGGGGACCATTTAACATTATTAAATGTTTATCATGCTTTTAAACAAAGTAAGTATCATAACTCTTATTATTATTAAAAATATTCATTAATTAAATTATTTATTAATTTTTTCAGGTATGGAAGATCCACAGTGGTGTTACGATCACTTTGTGAATTACCGATCTCTAAAAAGCGGAGACAATGTTCGACAACAGTTGAGTAGAATTATGGACCGATTCTCGTTGAAGAGAACATCTACTGATTTTACATCTAAAGATTATTATATCAATATTAGAAAAGCACTTGTTGATGGATTCTTCATGCAGGTAATTTATTTATTCATTACTTTTATTCTAATATTTATTTTATTTTATTTTATTAATTAATTGAAATAATTTATTATATTTTTTTTAAAAAATAGGTTGCGCATTTAGAAAGAACAGGACATTATTTAACTATTAAAGACAATCAAATGGTCCAATTACATCCTAGTAGTTGTTTGGATCATAAACCAGAATGGGTGATTTATAATGAATTTGTTTTAACAACTAAAAATTATATAAGAACAGTTACAGATATTAAACGTAAGTTATTTTTTTATTCATTATTACTATTATTATTATTATTATTATTATTATTACTACAAATTTTAGATAAAAATTTATGATTGAAACTGTTCATTTTTTAGAACTAAAGATAATAATCTATATTATTAAGAGATACATAATTAAAAAATTACCTTGTATCTTGTGAACAATTGACATTTTTTAAGATATAAGTTCATCTTGACATTACAATCATCAAGAGCTTTCATTTGAGTACCCGCATGCATTTTTAATATATTTTTCATATATACATATATGTAATATATATAAATATATAAAATATATGAAAAATTGATGTGGGTATTCAAATGAAAGGTCTTGATGAGTATAACATCAGGATGAGTTTATTTCTTTAAAAATGTCAATATTTAAGAAAGTATGGTGTAATTTAATAATAGTCATATTGAATGAAGTAAAATTTTATTTATTCATAGATTACAAGTTACAGCAGTCACGTAGTGACTGCAAGGTTGCTAGTAATAATAATAATATTAAGAATTATTATTTTTTTTTAAATAAAAAAATTACACTAAAAATACATATGTATATAAAAAATAATTAATTAATAATAAAATTTATTTCAACAGCTGAATGGTTATTAAAAATAGCACCGCAGTACTACGACCTCCAAAATTTCCCTCAATGTGAAGCAAAACGACAATTAGAAGTAATACAAGCAAGATTAGAATCCAAACAGTATCAAGAGGGTTTCTAAATATAATATTTTTAATTAATTAGTTCATTTGGATAATTTAAGGACTAAAAAAAAAATATATTTTAATGTCATGTTCAGTTTAATGTTCATAAAAATAAAAATAAGACAAAAACACCGATCACCTATAAATATAATTAATATTATACATATTATTATCAATTAAAATTAATATTACGGCATTACTTTTATTATTGCCTTGATTGTCGCATTTTTTTTTAAAAAACTAATAATAAATAAAATTATTAATTTTATCAAATTATTTCAAATAATCTTTTGTTTTTTAATTAATACAGGACAAAATATCAAAAGTGAATTTTTGTTACAAATATTTATAAATAAAAAATCATCTGGTGGAAGAAAATTTCATATATTTTTTTGGGTTTTTAAAAATTATTTATTACTTCATTGTAAATAATTGCATAAAAAATTGATAAATAAATAATAATAGCTGTCAAAAAAAAATATTTAATTGTATTCTCTTCATTCCAATAAAAATATTAGATAAAAAAATTTGTTTTGTTTTTATTTAAAATAAAATTTTTAGCGGGAAGTTAAAAATATTTTATTAATATATTTTGGGTTAAGAGTCTAATATAAAAATATTTTGAAAAGCACCCCACGTTTTTTAACAATAAAATAAATTTTTTATTTAATTTTCAACTCAGAAAAATTTATTTCCTACTTTTAAGTAAAAATTTTCCATTAAACCTTTTTAAAACTAATTTTATATTAATGCCATCAGACAAAAAAAAAAATAAATATCCACCTGGAGCCATAGGGGCATGCAGATGAGTAACTATCTCCAAAGCATCTGTATAAAAAAAAAAAATTTCAAGCTTACTTCACATTGTTCGCAGTGATGAAATGCTTCATCTTTTCTTTTTTTATGAAATCTAACTTTAACACCCTTGCTCTTGCCAAACTCCAAAATAATAATAATAATAGATTTTTAATCATATATGAAGTAATTTTTAGCGGTTCCTCATAATCAGATTTCGAATCTTAATTAACATCAATATCATGAGCATCGATTCTTGTTTTTTCTGTTATAAATCTTCGAAATTGTGAATATGTTATATTCTCTAGGATGTTTGTATACAAGCGACTTGATCCGGATGGAACTATAGTGTTAGCTGCCAATAGTATTCTCTTGTAACTAGAGTTTCAAAGACGGCACCTACAATTCTTGTTCTTTGGCCTCTCCTTTGGGCCGTATTATAATAGTCGGTGAGAATGACATTGAAGTCAGCAACTGCCTCTGGTCCTTTAGCCAAGTAAGCGTCCCAAGCCGCCAAAATCTCGTGTGAACTGATGGGTTGCCTTCACCCGCATTTCGAGGAGCATTTTCTCGCATTTCCTGAATATTTTCTTGGTGCCATTGATTTCTATTTTGAGCGGTTCTCACCGCCTCTTCGTATGATAAGAACCCGACGATATCGGTCCATGCTATTGAATTTTGAGGTCTGGGAGTGGTGCGATCTTCTCGCCAGGCCTGGACGGCTTCTTCATCCGTATAATGACAATGATGCCGACAAATTCACGGCTGCGGGGCTACTAGCCACTCGGCGCCAAAAGATAGCGCGCAAAAGTTCTCCCCGTAGTTTCTCAAATGAACCCACATGTCCTTGTCCTCTAAATCATCGTCCTCATGCGAAGGTTCTTCCTCCACTTCTCGAGCTTCTTCCTCAGGCGGCAGTTCTTCGACTTCTTCTTGTACTTTTCTAGCTTCTTTCTCCTATTTATTCAAGATATCAATTGCGTCATCATAATATATACAAATTCATACGTAGATTCTTGAATTCCCTGTGTAAAGGGGGGAGGCCGACTTGAGCGAAATTGAACCATGGCGTCAAGTCACCATTTTCCACATAGTAAAATTCTTTATCTTTAAGCCACCATGTATATTATATTAAATACCACTTATCATCATTATCTTGCGCCAGTACGAAAATGTTTCGGTTTTTAGGATCGTCAGGATTAGGTGGAATTCTGATTTCTTAAGATTGAACTTAAATATTGTTATTTGTAAAATAATTAAAAATAAAGAATTTTTAATTATTTACAAAAATCACTTCCGAACAAAAACGTTTTTACATGTTATTATATATAGCAAATTAATATAAAATAATATAAAAAAAAAAATTATTATTTCAATAAAAATAATAATAATAATATTTATAATTATAATTTCAGAAAAAAAAAAAATTACTCAGAAAAAAAAAATAATTTTCATAAAAAATAATTGAGAACTTCTACCCTTCATACTATATGCATGGAACTACAGCTACAGCCTCGATCATAATGACGAAGGAAACCGACTCCGGATGTAACGGACAAACGGTTGTCTATCATTGGGATCATTGGCTGTGATACTCAAGCTGCGCGCGCATTTAATCTCAGCGCGGCAATTTTTAATTTTTATAACGCACATTTTTATTTTTTTATTCTAAAGTTCGTGTTCGTAGTTTAGTTATACTTAATTAAATGATTTATTTATTTTTTTTCATCCAGCATAATTCTTATTTTTTCTTTATTATAACTTAAATATTTTAAAAACAAAAAACTTAACTCATGTATAAGTCAAAATTATTCGTAACATCATCTTAAAAAAATTTTTAAACAAATAAAATAAATATTAACGAATGTTAAATATAAAAGTGTGTGCTTCTTTTATAGAAGCATTATTTTTTTCTTCTTAATTACTAATTAAATTATTAAGTAAAAAATTAAAAAACATAATTAATTATTTGTTTATTTTTCAGGTACTCAATGCGCTTATTAGTTACTATCCAGTAATATACCTTATTAAATAACAATTGTAACAATTATAATGTCTTTCGTCATCTTACAAAAAAATAGTAGTGGGGGTAAATTAAAGTTGATAAAGGATAAAGTGTCTATCTCTCTCTACACTCTACACATGCTCAAAAAAAATTCTCCGGTGCAGTAGAACTGACAAAGTAGCAACTTGTGTAATATTATAATATAAATAAATAAACAATACAAATAATTAAACCAAAAATGGTTTCAATAACATTGCCAATGGTTGGAAGATTTGCTAAACTTTCTTTAGATCATTTTTACATCAGCACCCGGACAATTTTAAGGTTAAGTATTTTTTATTTATTTAAAAATTACTCTGAAAAAAAAAAAATCACGCATGTAAAAGTGAGGTTAGATTAAAAAAAATTTAGTAAAATAATATTTTTTAATTATTTTGACATTAAATTTAGCACTTTTCTAATTTTATTTACTGAACATGATAATTATTTTTAAAAATTTAATTTTAAAAAATTTTTAAATGTCAACTTTTTTTTTGGAATAATTTATAAAATTAATAAATTAATTTAGATAAAATTTTATTTAAACAGCAGTAGGGCGAGAAATAATTTAGTGCTTGGTAATGATTACCAAAAAAATAAATTCAGTACTGAGGCAAAAAAAGCCGATCAAGGTAGTTCAGCACCACCGGTTGATCAGCTGACAGAAAATGAAGCCAAGTTGAAGTCAGAATTGGAATTATTAAGTTCCGAGTTGAGTGAAGTGAAAGAACGTTTCAGTGACTTGGATGACAAGTACAAGCGAGCGTTGGCTGATAGAGAGAATTTAAGGGTCAGATTGACCAAGCAAATTGAAGAGGCCAGGACATTTGGGATTCTAGGATTTTGTAAGGACTTGATCGCAGTCGCTGACACTTTGAGCAAGGCTACTGAAAGTGTCCCTAAAGATCAGCTGACTGAGTCCAATCAGCATTTGAAGAATTTGTATGAAGGTTTGATACTTTCTGAAGCGGAATTACATAAGGTACAGTCACAGTTGTTTTATATTTATATTTATTTATGAGAATTGTTAAGTTATTTTTTTTGTTTTGTTGATTTAAGGTGTTTACCAAACATGGGTTGATTTCATTGAATCCTCTGGATGAGAAGTTCAATCCTCAAGATCATGAATCGTTATTCCAACAGGTATTATTTTATTTATTATTATTAGGCTGTATTTCTCTACATATAAAATTGAGAAATGAGCTTGTATCTTGAGAACTATTAAGATTTTTAAAGATATAAGCTCATCCTGACATTACACTTATCAAGAGCTTTCATTTGAGTACCCACATCAATTTTTTATATATTTTATATATTTATATATATATATATATATATATCATATATATAAATATATGAAAAATATATCAAAAATGCATGTGGGTACTCAAATGACAGCTCTTGATAAATGTAACATCGTGGTGAGCTTATATCTTTAAAATATATATTATATATATTACATAATTAAAAAATTACTTTGTATCTTGTAAAATATTGACATTTTTTAAGATATAAGTTCAACCTGATGCTATTCTCATCAAGACCTTTCATTTGAGTACCCACATCACTTTTTCATATATTTCATATATTTATATATATATATATATTACATATATGTATTTATGAAAAATATATAAAAAATGCATGTGGGTACTCAAATGAAAGCTCTTAATGAGTATAACATTGTGGTGAGCTTATATCTTAAAAAACGTCAATATTTAAGAACGTACAGTGCAATTTAACAAAATTCATCTTAATAATACAAAATTTTATTTATTCATAGTTCATTTATTATTATTATTATTATTATTATTAACCTTAAAATACAAATTTTACAGGAGGTCCAAGGCAAAACCCCAGGCACCGTAGTAGTAGTCTCTAAAATCGGCTATAAATTACACGACAAGCTAGTGAGGCCCGCGCAAGTTGGAGTAGCTAAAGGTTAACTAAACCGGGACTACATAATTTCTTTTTTTTTTTTTACAAATTAAACCAATTACTGTAAAGTTAGGCAATAATCCTTGAATTGAAATAAATAAACAATTCAAAAAATCAACAACGTTCAAATACTTTGTACAAATCAGGTAAGCTAGCAATCTTAAGAATACTGGAGTCATGCGCAAATTCTTTAGGCGGAAGCAGACTTTCTTTAATCGCTGGAAAAAGAACATATTCAATAGAATGCCGCCAATCTTTGTTAAAATCAACATTACTGTAAAACCTCGCAGTTTCTCTGGAGATATCTTCAAAGCACTTTTGCTCTTCAGTCCAGTCAACTTTAGTAGCAAGTCTTACCACAAAATTAGGCAGTTCTCCAGCAACATCTGGAGAATAATCTTCTAACAAAACCGGCAAGGATTTTATGTATCCATTTTTAGTGATTACAATTGCAAAATATTCCTTCAACATTTCAGATTTGCTGACTAATAAATCTTTAATCTGTTCCGCGAATTGTTCCAAGGAACTTTTGGAAGATTTTTTCTTCATCCCAAGCTTCGCAAGTTCTACCAGAGACAAAGCCGAGGAAAATTTAAGCACTCCGTAATTAGCAAAGTCATACAACATTATTTCATAAAATATTTCTTCGGCTAAATTTTTAATTTTGCAGATATAAAGATCGACGTCGCTCTGGAATAAAACTAATTTTTCATCAACGCACCCGATGAAAATCATCCCAGATAATATTTTTCTTAATCCGCCATGATAGCTGTCCTCCACGCGCTTCCTCAGTCTCAAGATACTTGTTAGCTCTACAGGACGCCTATAACAATTTACAGAGTAGGATTTGAATATTTCGTCAGACTCTTTTTCTTCTTCGACTGACTCCAGATCGGTGCATTCAGAAGTTTGTTCTGGAACTGGTTCAGAAAACTCAGGAGTTTGCTCCTGGAGAGTTTCAGGAATTTCAGGAGGTACTGAGGTTATTTTAAGCTCGATAATTTGATTTTCAGGGGGAGGTTCTTTAGTTTTAGCTTCTCTAGTAGGTTCTTGAGAGCCAAACAATTTTTGGACTGTCTTGAGAGCCCGCTCGGCGGTTTTAGATACTATAACTGGCTCCTCAGGCTTCACTTCTTCAACAGGATCTGAAAAATTACAATTAATCTATCATTAAAAAACTATCTTTAAAAAATGACCTTGTATCTTGTGAACTATTGACATTTTTAAAGATATAAGCTCATTCTGATGTTATATTCATCGAGACCTTTCATTTGAGTACCCACATCAATTTTTCATATATTTTTATACAATTGTATATATGTATATATATGAAAAATATATCAAAAATGCATGTAGGTACTCAAATGAAAGCTCTTGATGAGTGTAACATCGGGATGAGCTTATATCTTAAAAAATCTCAATAATTAAGAAATGACCTTGTATCTTGTAAACTATTGACATTTTTAAAGATATAAGCTCATCTTTACATTACACTCATCAAGATCTTTCATATGAATACCCACATCAATTTTCCATATATTTAATATATCTATATATACTATATATATATATATATATATATATATATATATATGTATATATGAAAAATGTATAAAAAATGCATGTGGGTACTCAAACGAAAGCTCTTGATGAGTATAACATCAAGATGAGCTTATATCTTTAAAATTGCAATTTAAAAATTCTCACCTGGCTCTATTTCATCATCCAGCTGTTGATCCAAAGACTTTTCCAAACTGACAGTAAAATTAAACTTCTCAAGCTTCTGAGCCTGATGATCAGTACGTACCATCTTACTGGCTTGAACCTTGCCCTTGTCTTTATTCTCATTAACCCCAGCCGCAAGATCAGGCAAGACTTGACCCAAAGCTTCCCTGGAGAGGTCAACCTGTGGCAGTCTAGCCTGGGCATAAAAAGTCCTGGAGGCGTTATTGGAAGACAATTTACCATCCAGAGCCTCCTTGACTCTTTCAACAATAGCTTCTTCGTGTAAAAACTTGACCTGGGATTTTGTGGGATGAACATTGACGTCCACATTGTTGGGGTCTATCTCCAGAGAGATGTAGCACCAGGGATGAGTTTTTTTCGGCAGGTAGATGGAGTACAAGTCGTCGAGCATTTTTTTTATTAAAGTTGACTCGACAAGCCTGTGGTTGATGAACAACAAGAAGACGAGCTTCTTATTAGAGTAATTTGGGTTTGTGATCAGTGCTTGGAGCTTGAATTTATATACCGAGTCTTCTAAAGAGACTTCTATTAATTCCCGAGCGACAGCTTGCCCGAAGAGCAGCTTGATGGTGTCTGATTTATCAGACTTGCTGGGAGTCCGGACGTAGGGGCTGTTCTCGCCCTGTTTCTTTAAAGTAAAGGCCACTGAAGAATTGTGAACCGCGTAGCGGGTCACTACTTCAGTTATCCCGGTGAATTGTTCGCTGATATTATCCAGAGCTTTCCTCCGCTGCGGTACATTGTAAAAAAGGTTCTCGATGGTAATTGTAGTCCCCTGGTTCCCTGCCAGCGCTTTAGGAGGAGCTTTAAGTTTACCGTCGACGTAGCTCGCTCGGTGAGCTACCTTGTCCTGCGCTGTCTTCGTTGTTATTGTCAGCTGAGCCACGTGGCTGATACTTGCTAAAGCTTCTCCTCTGAAACCGTAGGTTGATAAGGAGTGTAGGTCAGCGAAGGAGGATAATTTGCTGGTTGTGAAACGCTCGCAGACTATTTCGAGGTCTTCTTTTAGGATTCCAGTGCCGTTGTCTTGGATCTGGGTACATAAGAAATTATTTTGTATCTTGTGAAATATTGAAATTTTTAAAGATATAAGCTCATTTTGATGTTATACTCATCAAGATCTTTCATTTGAGTACCCACATGCATTTTTTATATATTTTTCATATTTACATATATATATATAAATATATAAAATATATGAAAAATTGATGTGGGTACTCAAAAGAAAGGTCTTGATAAGTGTAATGTCAGAATGAGCTTATATTATATATTATATCTTTAAAAATGTCAGTAATTAAGAAATTACATTGTATCTTGTGAAGTATTGACATTTTTAAAGATATAAGCTCATTTTAATGTAACACTCATCGAGACCTTTCATTTGAGTACCCACATCGATTTTTTATATATTTTATATATTTATATATATTATATATATGTATATATAAGAAATATATGAAAAATGCATGTGGGTACTCAAATGAAAGCTCTTGATGAGTGTAACATTAAAATGAGCTTATATCTTTAAAAATGTCAATATTTAAGAAAGTACAGCGCAATTTAACATTAGTTTTATTAATTATTAAAGAATTTTCAAATCTGTTAATATTAATATTAAAAAAAATTTAATTTAACTCCAAAAAAAATTTTTAATTTATTATAAAAAATCAATTTTTTTTTTTAAACAAAAAATTTTTTTTTACCTTACTAAAAAATATTTTAATTCAAATTTATGTACCTGTAATAATTTTAATCCACCATCTTTGATAGTTATTTGAATGTCACTTGCTTTTGCGTCAAGACTAAAATAAAATAAATTAAATTAAATATATAAACAAACTAAAACTAATAATTATAAATAATAACAAACCTGTTTTCAATTAATTCCTTTAACGCATTAGCCGGCTTTTGAATTATCTCACCAGCAGCAATTCGATTGACAACTACTTGATCTAATTTTTTTATTTTTCCCGGTAGTGCCATTTTATAATTATTGTCATAAATTAATCGTATTTAAATATAGAATCCTTTTTTATTCATTACAAAATCAAATTTTCAATACTTTTATTTTAATTTCAACTGTTACTCCATAAAATTAACTGACAAAACAGCGTTACTGCTATTGTTATTATTTTTTTTTGATCACACAGCGCTGCCTGGCGGCAAAATTCTCAACTACAAAACTTGGAATTTTTTTATTTTGAATTTTACTTTCAACTTTCTTAGGTTATAAATTAACAGCGAGGTGTTTTGGTGTTGTCGGTGAAAAAACATAATAATTAATAAATAAATAATTAAAAAATGTCTAATCGCAGTTTAGTAATTAAATCAGGATTTCTTCGCGCTCCTTTAAGCAATGGAATTGGTCGTTATGTTGGACAGTTGCAGAGAATTACTCTTAAATTTTGTAAAAGCCATCCTACTAGTAAAGGAATGAGGTAAGAATAATAACAATATTTAAATAATAAAAATAACAATAAAATAAATTTATTAATTATAATAAAAAAATATTTTGGAGCACAAATTAAAAAAATTTTTAAGTGACAGGTAAATTTAATGTCATTAATTATTATTATTAAATTGATAAATTTATTTTTAGAGATTTTTTGGAGAATCACTTACTAGACTTTGCAAAAGAAAATCCTGGAGTTGTTGTCTATGTCAAACCTAGGAGACACAGGACTCCTGTTATGCTTGCTGAGTATTGTAAGTTTTATAATAACAATATTTAAATTAAAAATTATTATTTATAATAATATTAAAATTGTTAAAGTGAATGGTGAAAAACACTGGGTTGCTGTAAAGAATTTTGAGAGTCTTCATATTCAAAAGTGGCTTGAGTTAATGCGAACTCAAGCTCAGGATGGCTCGGCTATGAGATTACGTAAAATGTGGCACACAGAGTTCCCTTCAATTCAAGGCCCTTGGTCACCTTTTACATTTATGAATCCTATTAGTAATATCACTAAATTCCCAGATGTAAGTCTAAAATATTATTTTAATTTTTTAAAATTAAAAAAAAAAAAATTTTATCTTAATTTTGAATCCATGTAAATAATTCAAATTATTAATATTATTTTTTAACAGAACCAACTTGGAGCAGCACCAAATCAAAAGCCGACAGCGACTGAAATTTTATTAAAAATGTATCAAGCTGAAAAAAATCACCCGACAAAATCAATTGGTGAAAATATTAATTAGAAAATTAATTTTATAAATACTTAAATATATGCAAGACTATTCGATGAATATAAAACAATTTTATTTAATAATATAAATATTAACATCCCTGACTGATGACATTATTGATAAAATTTAAGAAAAAAAAAAAGGTAAGGTAATTAAAACTGATACAATTATAAAAAAAAATTTTCTTTCGTTTACAGATACTGATACTGACAATGACATTGAATAATTGAATATAAAAGTAGCAAAATATATCTTCAATAATTATTTGGTTATCGGTAACAAATCACGCTTGCGTGAAAAAAAAAAAAAAAAAAAAAAAAAAA